CGACATAATAACGGCTTTGAACAAATCCTGACATCAAGCAGGAAGCGCTTTTTTTGATGTATACCTGGGAACATTTGAAATCAACACTTCCTGACTGGTTGAACTCTGACTGCTGAGGGAGTTTGTTGCATGATGCTTCTGATCCTGATTCACAGAAGATGTTGGGGTTATCAAATAAGAAAATCAAATGTCCCACCTTGAGTGTTATTTTCCCATTGAATGCAGCACGATGAGCGCCGTAACCAAATCTGATTTACCTTCATCAGGGGATGAAACAGGCTATCGGTCTCTTGTCCTGTTTACAGTTCGGATGCCATGCTGACTTCCTACTCACCTTTGACCTTACAACACACCTGACTGAAATCACCAAACAGTCACCTCTCTGAACTGGCACACACCGCCATCTAGTGGTCAAAGGGGAATCTTCAACAAATATTTATACATAATTGTTCATCCATATATTAGAGGGAGAACAATGAACACATGATGAATGGTATTTGAAAGCCCTTCTCTTTATAACATCAGAGTTTAGTAAACTGTGATTTGACATTTTTCCATATTTCCAAACTAGCAATCTGATTGGCTATACAGAGGAGACAAGCATGCTGGATTTGAGTTTCCTCACTCAGCAGCTTCTGTCACTTTTCAAGTCAACAACCCAGAATTTAAGTCACACACCTGTTTCACTGAATCAGCATTTGTTTTTGGATAAAATAAAGATGAAGTCTTTCTCCTTCAAAATAAAATCCAGACTTCTCCTAAAGTAAAGCTGCTCCATCGTCCCTTCTGGGCCTCCATACATGTGCGGTGGTGACTGTGTCTGCAGAGACTCTGTCCTCTGACTGGATTTTACTGTTCTGCTTTGTTCTGGTTGACTCGGGGCGTTTCTCGGCGGAGCTGGTGTGTTTCCTCCAGCCAAAGACAGCGCAGCAGGTGTGTAACTTTTGTATTCTACGATCTCTCTCACAAGAAGCAAAGTTGTCCCAAACACTATTGCCCCCCCTCCCCAATTCCCCCCGCTGACCTGCACTCACACTGCTCCAGGACTAACCGGGCCTGAGCATGGTTCCTCTTGTTCTTGAGCACGGATCAGAGCTCTTACACTATTCAAAAGAACTGGACTTTAGGGGTGACGCGTGCTTAGGCATAGTACAGATTGCCTTGTGTGAGTGTTCCCTTAATCAGGACAGTGTGTCCATCCCTTCAGGAACTGTAGCTCCACTTTCACACTCATCTCCTGCTTGTTCCCTGACTCAGTCTCAGAGTGACATCACAGCTCAGAGGGTGGAACGGCCTCTTCTTTATTCAGTGATTAAACACAATGTTCAAACTGCACGGCCCAGACGTGCAGCAGGAGCACACTGAAATCTACATTTCCCCATCAGTGGTGTCAGCTGTGGGCTAGCTCATTGATCACACATGAGACCTCATCCACCAACCAGTATTAAACATGCATTCTTCCTCATGACCAGCAAGGGGAGACTCCGCTGGTTGCAAAATAAGTCCATCATGAGAAAGAAGCCCAAAAACCAATGGATGAATTGTGATCAAATTTGATAAATATAATTTCCCCCATCAAAAGAATAAATTATAATAGTTTGGAAAACCTTTCCAAAATTTTGGCAAATACCTGCAGAGCTCATGACAATCCCTTCCAGCTTCACACACAAATCCACAACAGAATTGTGACATGTTCAATAATGACATGGAGCATGGAAAATGATTGGACCTGCCTAATGTAGGCATGAGATGATTTTAGTAATGACCTTCCAACTTCCATAGATATCTGTCACATACTTTTTATTTGTTATTTCATGTATTCTTATTTATAAGTAAATGTGCTTTCACCAGCTTTAAAATGACAATTAAACCAACTCACTGGAATAATACAGAGGAGGACGATCAAGGCTGAGATCCATCCTGTAATAAAAACACAAACCATCCAGTTTTATTAACTACAGTATAGGAAGAGTTACCTGCACAGTTTTGGTCCCTGCATAAAAGGGACATTTTGACTGTGCCACACACACCCACAAAAGCCAGTGCAACACACACACAAACACACACCCGCCTCACACAAACCAATGCATCACACGCTGACACTCTGTATTCAGACTGGGCAGAGTCCGCCCTCTAGTGGTTCTTCATTGGAGGTGCAGTGCAGTTTGTCCCTCTGAAATGTTCTCTTACTCAAGTCAACGATCCATGGAATACCTGCATGAAAACTGCTGACTTTGTCAAATTACACACACACACACACACACACACACACACACACACACACACACACACACACTTCTCTTTACTGCAGCGTTCACACTTATCTCTTAATGTTTTAAATTAACACATTTAATGTAATCCTGTTTCTGCACGACGATAAGATGTGACACAACTTTATAACACGCACGCACACACACACACACACACACACACACACACACACACACACACACACACACACACAAGTACACACCACTCTGCTCTGTACCGAGACAAGCAGAAAACAACATGTCAGATAACGGGACATGTTCTGCTTTCACAGTGACAGGACGTGCTGACAAAATGACACAAAACACAGCAGACGTGTTTTTGATGAAAAATGTGTTCTTGATGTAAACTGTGCAGGTCAGCAGAAGCTGTGAAGTTTAACTGCTCCAGCAAGAAATGCAGCGTTGACATAAAATGCACAAAGAAGTAATGGCATATATTTTTTAAGTACTTCTTTCCCCCCCTTATGAAACATGCCATGCTGCAAAAATAAGCAGATAGATAAAAAGCTGAGAATTGTTTGTACTCACAGCAGCTGCAGCACGCTGATAAGCTGGAAAGCAACAATATGAAAGCTGAAGAGTTTACTTCTCTCTCTTTAAGAAATAAAGTCTGTGATTTCATATTTTGTGACTGAATAACTTTCTTTTTAAATCCACAACCCTGCACACAAGTTGTCAAACAACAACTTTGTCAAACTTTAATGTCATTTAAAGAAGTTTGTTTAAAAGCTTAATATGCAATTTTTCACACTTAAATGTAATAGAAATCAAGTATATCCTCTGAAAATATCTCTGTGTGTCATGACTGTCTACAATGGGTGTAACACCCGAGTCCCACTGTCTGTGATGTTTTCCGAGTTTTCCGAGTCCAATCTTCACTTTGTTTACATCGCCCGGCCGGCTGGCTGGCTCCTCCCCTCGCGTATAAAAGTTGTTTAATTGAGGGACTAGAGAAAAGAAGAATAACATACTGTACTCACTGCTTAACTGTGTTTCTAGATCATTTCGCGTAAATTTACATGCAGTGTGAAGATACGAGCATAATAAAGATTGCTAGCATTAGCATGCTAACACAACAATGCAGCGCGAGTTGTTTTGGTTTCATGTTGGTGCTCAAGGGCGACATCTGCTGGATATAAAGCCTTTAAGCTTGTATAAATGAACCAAAAGGGAAATGACCATCCATACCCACATTAGTTATTCCCTGGCCGTGCCCCGGTGGAATCAGGCTAACTTAGGCCTCGTCCACACGTAGGCGGGTATTTTTAAAATCCTAGCTTCGTCTCTGTGTTTTGACCTTTCTTACACAAACATCGTTTCAGGTCCCTGTAAACTCTCCTTTAGTAAAACTCCTTCCACGGTGAAGATGTTCAGAAACTCAGTTTAAGGTGTTTCTGTGTAGACGCGAAAACAGAGTTTAGCTCTTGTAACGTCACGCTGTGCGCCGGTCACTTTAGTTTTCGTGAGATTAGTGCGACGGCAGACGTCACCAAACTAGCGCTGATGCTAATGTTGCTAACTGGACTTTTTACACGCTCACACACACACACACACACACAGTTACTCTCCCACCATGCGGACGAGCAGTGACGCCTGATTGGACAACTTTATAAAGTGAAAAAGTCATAGCGTCTCTATCGTGTCCACAGAGCGCCTGTTTACTACAGTATGTAACTTTGACAGGTAACCGTGCTCAGGCCTGCAGCAGCACAATTAACAAGTGTGAGTGCAGCGTGCTTAAACACGGGACAGGACAACTTAGCCTAGTGTGAGCGCGCCCTCAATCCATCTTACACTAAAATCGCCTCTTTCCTCGTCAATCTTTAAGTTAGCTTTATAAGTCTGGAACCTTACAAACATGTCTCAACTAGCATGTAATAAATACCTTCTCTGATGTAGCTATTTAGCTACAGCCTATAGTCGTCATGGTAACAGTTTGCTCTACATTCACATACTCAACAAGCTAGCAGTTTTACTAACTCAGACTCGTATTTTTACGGTAGCTTTTGCACTAAACATGTGACGTCACTGAGACTTTGTCCGTGTTTACAGTCTATGGTCTGAGCCCCAGTAACCCCGCAGAAGAAGCTTATGTGGGTTGTTGGAATCCTTTCATCACGACCCAGAGCTCATGACTCGATGCTTCAGACTCCTGTAATCCTTCACTTGTGGTTGTAACTTTCTCCAAAACCCCTCGCAGTCAACTGTGAAGGAGGGGCGCTGGAGGTCGGCCACAGTTGGGGGAGGGGGGGGGGGTCATTTTACATCTTCAGGGATATGATTCTGAAGTTGACCTTCAAGGCCACCTTACTGGAGAGTGGCCTTGACCATTGCAGAGTTGGGCCTTGGATCTCTGATTTGGAGAGACGCCGAGATCGAGAAGCAACACCTGACATGGCATGTGTCAGGTGCCGCTTTTCGATCTTGTTGCTTCTACTGATTTTTGATTTTAGAATTACATTTATCGGGGATGTGAGATTGTTTCTTTTATTTGGAAGAAGAAAAAAAAAATTCTAGTAATTTCCCACAGCCATTAAGGACACTTTTACTTTTTTTCAATGGAGCAAAAACACTCTCCCTTTAGATTACAGAGCTGGAATATTCTACCTGAGCTGAAACCAACCAATCAGCGTGGAGAGAGTCTAATCATCTGTCTCGTGCATGTCTAATTTACGGGAGTGAATAGGAGGGGGCGTTTCTAGATGACGTGTTACTTAATGGATGGGAGTTCCCCACGTGACTGACTTGACACTCCTGCTGGCCCGCGCGGAGGTGAAGACAGAGATCAGAGGAGGACAGCAGGAGAGGAAGACCACGATCTGACCGCAGCATCATCACGCAGAAAGCAGTATCTGCGCCCGGATCCATCCGTGCCTTTTTCTCTTAAATTCAATCCGCTTTTTTTTGTTTGTTTTAACGAGCGTTGTTATTTTTATATTATCATCTCTTAACAACCTGCACACCCAGCCTGCAGCGGACCTCTTCAGCGGCTCTGAGTACAAACCTGTGCGGGGTTTTGGATGTGTCCACCGGCTGCAGCCGTGTTCGCGGTGCTGACCGCCTGCGTGGCGTGCGCTCCGGGGAGAGGCCAGCAGCTCAACTACCGACCTATCATCGGTAAGAACCGGCGGGTTGAACGGCTGTTTGTGTCTGTGTGTCTCCGTGGAGAAACATTAAGACAGCTCTTCTGTAATTTTCATGAAAGGAGAATGTTCGAGAACAGGTGTATGCGCGTGTGTGTGTGCGCGCGCAAGTCCCTGCGGTTTCTCAATGCAAAGCACGTGCTTTAATAATACTAAAATGTATTGTATTTCACAAATATTTTCAGTGACGTTTTACTCCTTGTTTATACTTCCGTGTGTTTTGCAAAAACAGATTCATAAGTGAAACACAAATGTTCAGATCCAATTTACATTTTTTTATTTTTTTATTGATGATTAGGTGAACAAAATGAAACAAGAATATATAGACATGACATAGACATGACAACTAAAGCGAGAACAAACAAACATAGACAAAATAAATAAATAAATAAAAAATAAAACGGACAAAATAGATATAAAATAGCAAAACATAAGCAAAGATACAGAGCAACAATAAAGACAAAATACATTTAAATGAGATGAACTATGACACATGTTGTGTTGAGTCAACCTGCTGCAGTCACACTGAGGTCAGAACTTACAGGCAGTTTTTAAAAACTCATGATCTGTGGTGGGATAACTTAAGAGTTGAGTGCACCCTTTGAGTCTTACCTCATACAGGTGTTTGCTGTGTTTCTTTTCTTTCTCAGCGTATTTCTTGATGAAATTGGACCCGATGTGCAGAATGAAAGCATCAGTTTCCTGATATATGATCCTCACACATTATGAAACCTGTATTAGTGAATAATAGAATATGAAGTTTGCATCGTTTGCTGGCACAGTTTGTGCTTTTTTTTTTTTTTTCTGCTTACTATGAATTATGATGTAACGTTCCAGACCTTTCTATGAAAAACCGAAACATGCACACTTCATCAGAGACGCATGTCTGAGGAGAGGACGCGTCAGGACCTGTCAGGGATTAAACCCTCTTTGTCAGGAGGGACACGGTTTGTACTTTCTTAATCTCCTCTGTGATGTGTCCTTTTTGCCCCCCAGGTGTGTTAGCTCAAGAAAACCTTCCAGGAGACCAGTCTGCTCCCGCACCTTCGTACATCGCCGCCTCCTATGTGAAATACCTGGAGGGAGCGGGGGCCCGGGTCGTACCCATCAGGTACACTCAAGCTGTTTTCACACATGCACTCCTGATAAGTTCTAGGATGACTAACCCTGATCTGGCTGTTCACAACCTCACAGGTTTAAAAGCAGTTCCTTAGAATTAGAATCATTCTGAGGTTACTGAACTTGTAGTTCTCCTTTATGTTATCTCCTGAACGCATTATAAGCTTTGTGTAATCATGTGCCTGAGTCACTTCTTATCAGTGTGTGCAGTTCACTGTGCTCTTCATGATAATATAATAATAATGATAATCACTTCAGTGATATAAGACTACATCCTGTGGTGCAAACTCAGATGAGTAAGCACACTATTGTCTTTATTTTCACATTGGTGGTGGGTGTTTCCATGAAGAAAAAAGAAAGAATAATTAATTCTGACTTGATGATCATTCAAACTGTGACCTATATCTGACAGACAGCTGTTTCAGTCGCGGTGCAGGTTTGCTAAGTCTTTATTGACTCTTTTAGGATTTCATCTTGGTGAAATGGTCTTTGTTGCATTTGTTGAAATATTCCTCGGAGAAATTAAAAAATAAATCAGGAAACTGTTGTTCAGTCTGAGTGCATGGGGATGTTTTCATCATTTTCTGCATGTATCACACATGAGCAGATTCTTTGATCGTCAAACGCCACTGAGTTAAACCTCATCTAGACTTCTACGTCTGTGAACACAGTGGATTGACGTAGCGCTGTAGCCCGCTGGCACCTCGCACAAGGAAATGACACCGACTCCAAGCCCTGTGATTGGTCAGTTATCCAGATTTTACAGAGTGTGCAGAGTGAAGGCAGTTTCTCCAGCTGATCTCTGAACAGTTTCTTTCTTTCTTTGGAGAGAGTAGTTCTGGCCCTGAACCAGGAAGTGTTAAAAAGTCTATTCCCCTCTTTGCCTCCTCACACTCAGCGTGCTCATTGTGGTTTCATGTAGGCAGGGTCAATGCAAATAAGTCACTGGATGTGTTGACCTCAGGTTTGTCTCTGGGTGTGACAGCTGCTCGTCTACATCTCTATTCAGCGCTCCAAAGATGGTTTTTAACCTCGGTGTGATTCACAGCATTCCCGCCCTCAAGGCCGCCTGGTGTTTCTGAAACGAGCAGTTAGAAAACGGGAGTACTGAGATGATGTAAAAGTCATATTTTTAAACAGCATCTTAATATTTGCCTGATTGTTTTTAAAATTACTGTTTGATGATTCATACTGAAGATCTCACAACCTGTCTACCTCTCAGCTGATTCAGTCACAATTATTTTTATCAATCATGATGTGAGACTCCCTCAGTTTCTTTCGTAACGCCCTGAGGTGGAGACCAGCCTCACTCTGGTTCGGTGGTCGCCATGGAAACGAGTCCTTAAATCCATAGTAATCGTATATTTGATTGTACACAAGTTGTTGTGTGTTTGACTCATCTTTGTCCCTTTGTGCTCTTTTTTTTTTTTTTTTATGAACCAGAATCAACCGCACAGAAGAAGAATACACCAAAATATTCTACTCCATAAACGGGTGAGTTCTTCAGCACGCCATGTGAACGGATTCGAGATAGGAGAGAAAAATCAACCTCCCCAAAACATGTGTGAAGTGTCTTGTTCTAAATCCACTCTGATCCTGTATTTGATCATACCTATGAACCCCTCTATTTCAGCCCTGCTCAGAACAGGCTGTTTCTGTGTCTGTACCTTTAAATATGTAAATGAGCTGTGTCTGACCACGCCCCCTCTCTGGAAGGGCTTGGGTGTGCTCGGGCTTTCTCGCTCCATGTCCTATTGTTTACGGTGAGAAGGCAGACTCAGAGGGCAGAACAAACACCTAGCTGTGGGAGTGTCACCCACCTGGGGGAGGGGTTACTGCCCTTTGTGATGTCATGAAGGGAAAATCTCCAAACGGCCTGTTTGAGCACACATTTTCTATAAAGTGGAGCAGGCAAAAGACGGAGAGGATGAACTTTTCTCATCATTGGAGGGTTTGCAGACAGACTAGAGACACATATTAGAGTGAGAGGAACATGGGGAAGAGGATTTTGAATAAGATGTGACCTTTAAAACTTGAATATTTGTGAGGCCAACAAGAAAGAGGCTCAAAATGCTGAATAAGATGCTAACTTGTGTTTCCTTTTCAAGTACAAAGTCGGTCTGCACAAATCATGCTACGTACCATGTTGGATAACCATAAACATTCTGATGAACATTAAAAATATTATCTCTGACTCACAGTTTGTAATTATTTGGAAGGGATACCTGACTACTGACTTCTGTGACAGCGTGCTCATTATCCACGGCCCGCCCGTTGGTTTCTCCTCAGGTTGCTGCTGCCGGGAGGAGATGTAGACATTCAGACGTCACAGTTCAGTCGAGCGGCCCGGATCTTTTATAACCTCGCTCTGAAGGTAAGACATTTGACTGCAGGATGACACAGGGGGGGGGGGTCATTAGGTTATGTGTTTACCTCTCCGTCATCTTCTCTTCCCTCCATCTTGTTTTCCTCCTGCAGGCTAACGATGCCGGGGACTTCTTTCCGATCTGGGGCACGTGTCAGGGCTTCCAGCAGCTCAGCGTCCTCACAGCCAACAAAAACCTGCTCACGCTCACCGATACCAAGTCTGTGGCTCTGCCCCTCACTTTCACTGCAGGTGAGTTCGTCTGTCTCATTCTCAGCGTATCGATGTTTTCACACATCACTCTGTAACGACGTGGCTACAAAGATATACAAAATATCCAACCTAAGCAAAAGTGTTAAGATGCTGCAGAATAAATACAGGTGAACATGTGGCAGCATAACAAACCGCTTTAGTTTCATCGTTTGAAACAGCCTTCAGGTCTGGAACAACACACAGGTCCCTATGGACATATAATAGTCGGTCATGGCTTCGCCTTGTGGGTCATATTCCTGAAATGTCAGGTTTTCTTTTAACACTCAGAGTGGGATTCCTATTATAGAAATCCTACTGGAAAATTCAACAAAGAGCTTTGATTCCTGTCGAACTGAAGGACTAAAGGATGATCGCGTACCACACTCAAACCCCCATCACTCATGGTGTCACAAAAAGGGACAACCTCTTGTGTAAAAAAAAAAAAAAAAAGTGGAAGTGCAAAAAAAAAACTGCAGTTCCTTCCACTATTTTCTCCTCTTCCTCTTTCCCCTCTAACTCTAACTTTGTCTTTAAGGTTGTGCACACCAAGAAGCAATCCTGACCCCTATATGTGCACACTCTGACTTATATGTGATCGGATTGGTTACAGGTGATCACTTATTGAGTGTGTGCTTTTTCAGAGGCTGTGTTACTGTAAGACAGAGACAACACTACCCCTGCCGGGCTTTTTGTTAATTTCTTGATCCAAGCATATACTTTCTGTTTTTCATTTTACATGTATGGGTGGGACTCCCTTTAATAGGAGTCCTGCTTGAAAATATTTAAAGAGCAATTATTCCTGATATTCTATTGGCTTTAACTGCGACTCCTACACGGCTCACACCTCCCTCGGTCGTGGTGTCAGATGGAACAATTGGGTGGATCCCAATCTTCAAACACGCCCTGATTGATTCCTCTTCAGTCAGTGTAGGTAGAAAAAAATCACAACAATCAACATCTATTGAGCCAAATAACACAGTAGGAGGAGTGTAGAGTTGTAGGGTGAGGAGACCGGATGTGACAACATCAGAGAGCGGCTAGACAACATCTGTGCTGCGCTTTGGTCAAAATATAACATGAATCAAGCACCAGAGGAGGTTTGTGACCCTGTATAAACCAGCTCTCTCAGAGCGCTCTGTTTTGGTGTGTGTGTCTCTTTAAATGTAATGGGCCCCCCTGAGTTTTCCCCGTAGGCATCACTCCTTTGCTAGTGAGAATAAAAATGGCGGACCTGCGCTCAAGTTTTGCTCTAGGCTTGGGGTGGAGTTTTTTTTTTTACCAGAATCCCACTGTGACATCACAAGGAGAGCACATTTGGAACGGAGCATTTCTGTCTGTGTTAGGGCCGAGCAGCTACTCTTCTTCCTCCACATTTAGTTCCTCCTCTCCTTCACTTTGTGTCCTCACATCTCTCTATACATCTCTGGTGGAAGGGAATAAGAAACAAGGAACATATGGAAGTCGTTGTGCACACAAAAAAGCAAGCCTGACCCCTATATGTGCCCACTGGGAGGTGCAGGTGGTCAGTGTCAGAGAAATTGCTCTATTAGCATCAAGAGCTGATACGTCCCTCATTCCTGCAAACATTCTTTTCAATGTCTTTCTCCAATTAAATAAATGTAATGTACTTTAACATTTTTGTGTGGGACTCTCTTTACTAGGAGTCCTGCTTGAAAATGTTCAAAGAGTGCAAATTCCTGTTATGCCATCAGGTCTTACTGTGACTCCTACATGACTCACACCTCCCTCGGTCATGGTGTCAGATGAAACAAAATGGGCGGATTCCAATCATCAAACTCGCCCTGATTGGTTCCTCTTCAGTCAAACCTAGGCAGAAAAAAAAGCCTCCTCCCCTGTAGTACATCATAGTTTAGGATTAACATGCATGAGTTTAACACCTGTTCCTCGCCTTCACATTGTGACAGATACAGTTGTAACATGGCCACATATAAAAGTGCTTTCACACCTGCAGAAAACTCCTGAAAAATTATCTAGAGATGTTCAGGAGTGTAGCTTTGAAAACACATGACCATGCATCCCTCTTTTATTTGATGATGAAGACGCTGGAAGTATAACGCTCGTCTGAACCTTCGACCTTTCTGCCATCTGTCCTCCAGCGGCCAACTCCAGCCGTCTGTTCCAGAGTTTCCCCAAAGATCTGATGCAGTCTCTGTCTGAGGAAAACATCACGGCCAACTTCCACAGCTGGAGTCTGTCAGTGCAGGTATTTAATGCTCCACCTCTTTTTTTTGTGTCCGACAATCGGGTCGTTCAGTGTGAGCTGAAAGTCTGCCACCACTACAATCGTTCTTGATATTTGTCTGTTTATGTCCCCTGTGAAATAAAGCTGTAAATCATTTTCAAGGCTGAAACATTAATATGAAATATCTTCATCTGTTGAACTGACAGAACTACACCCGGAACTACAAGCTGAAGAAGTTCTACAGGGTTCTGTCCACAAACAACGACGGGGTGAAAGAGTTCATCTCCACCATGGAAGGTAAGTTTCATCACTGATGACATCACCGTCTGAGCGTGATTCAATTCTTATTGCTCACTTTAAAAATGCCGTAAGGGTCAGGGCAAAAAGGAGACTACTGCATGCTTCCAACTGTCCACTAGCCCGACTCAGTGTTTGTGACATTCAAAATGTGCAGAGGTTTCTGTGTCCTGACTGAGATTTTCTGGTCTTCCTCAGCCAAACACTTCCCGTTTTACGCCGTGCAGTGGCACCCGGAGAAGAGCCCCTTCGAGTGGATCGATAAGCCGGGGATGGTTCACACCACATCTGCTGTCAGGGCCAGCTTCTACACCGCCAGCTTCTTCGTCTCTGAAGGTAACGTTACCCACACTCTGATGACTTATCACATGTTTTAGGATGGCCACTTTTCAACAGAGAGACCACAGACAGGCTGCTGGTTGTCTGTCTCTATATGTCAGCCCTGTGATTGGCTGGTGAACAGTCCAGGGTGTAACCGTGCCTCTCGTCCATTGACAGCTGGGATAGGCTCTAACCCAAGCAGGAAAAGTGGTATAGATAGTGGGTTAAATTGTGGCTCTTCCGCTTTTAGTCTTAACACACGATCTACTTAAAATATATTAAGTTTTAAAGGTCACATATTCTGTAAAATCCTCTTCCCCATGTTTCTCTAACTCTAATATGTGTCCCTAGTCTGTCTACAAACCCCCCAATGATGAGAAAAGTCCATCCTCGCTGTCTTTTGCCTGCTTCCACTTTTCAGAAAATGTGTGCTCAAACAGGCCGTTTGGAGATTTTCCCTTCATGACATCACAAAGGGCAGTAGCCCCTCCCCCAGGTGGGTGACACTCCCACAGCTAGGTGTTTGTTCTGCCCTCTGAGTCTGCCTTCTCACCGTAAACAATAGGACATGGAGCGAGAAAGCCCGAGCACACCCGAGCCCTTCCAGAGAGGGGGCGTGGGCAGACACAGCTCATTTACATATTTAAAGGTACAGACACAGAAACAGCCTGTTCTGAGCAGGGCTGAAATAGAGGGGTTTATAGGCATGATCAAATCCAGGATCAGAGTGGATTTATAACAAGAAACTTCACACACATGTTTTGAGGAGCTCTGAGACTTATTTAAACTGGTTGAAGAGGAGGAGAATATGTGACCTTTAAACGGAAAAAGGAAATGTGCAAATGTGTTTTTCAATCGCGGCTTCATTTCTGACATTGATTTCTTTCTCTCCCCCAGCGATGAAGAGTCAGCACCAATTCTCCAATCTTGTGGAGGAAGAGCGATCTCTGATCTACAACTTCTCCCCCGTCTTCAGAGGGATCCACGCCGTGTTCATGCAGAACTATTACTTCGATTGACAAACATGTCGCGCTGAAATACAGATATTCAAAATGAATTAATAGAAATAAATCCAGACAGAATGAATTCATGACCATGCATATAGATTATATTTACATTCAGATCATAAGTGCAGAGGATTGTTTCACACCGTCAACACCGACTGTCCGAATATCAGCAGCTGCTCACTGAAGGTCAAGCTAGTGTTGTAGTCCTTTTTACTCTGTCTTGTCTCGGTCTCAGACTGGGTGGACTCTGGATTTAAAATCAAGACCGGTCAAGACCACCACTGATCGGCTATTTCTCCTCGTCATTACTGAGATTAGAAGGAAAAGTTCTCTTTTTAAAAGAACAAATAACTTCAATTTATTTGAAGTTTGGTTTTTATCCCCCGGTTACGTCTGCAACCTTCCCAGTGTTACTGTCTAAGTGAGAGACACGCCCCCTAAACACAAGATGAGGATTTTTCATTGATAGTTAGGGGTCTTGTCTCGGTTGAGCTTGGTTAGCGTTTTGAAAGCTGTCTCATGATTGTATTTCTGAGTCTCTGTCAGCAATTAAACATTTTTTATTCCTCAAACTGAGAATCCATTTTTTTATCATGTCTATCATGTCTATCATGTTATTTCTGACTCTTTAAATCAAAGTCACCACTCAGTTCTTCTTCTCTGGTGCTGCTGTGCTCTGTTGACAGGAATTTCAGTGCTGCTATTTCACCAGTAGATGGAGACATTTACGAGGACAGGACTTGTGTTAATAACTACTCATACAGGGAAACTAAAAATAACATGTATACAGTTTCATCTCTACTTTATAATTATTACTAAAATTAATATGATTATTTGGCTTTTTTTTTTTCTTATTTCCTGTTTTTTGTGTGTTACTTTCCTCTCCACTCGTTTGAGACCCTCCCCTTCCTGTCCTCACGCTGGCTGTTCTGGGCTACAACCAATCCAAAAAAGGGGTCTCTAGCTCAAAGGTATACAGGCCAAACATCACAGGGACGTAAATGTTGCGCCTTGAAACAGCAACCTGAATAGTGCCTAACTTGATTAAAGAAAAAGTCAAAAATCTGGCACTCTCTTACATCTAATGACCATGTGTCCTCAAATCACAGTTTTGTCTTTCTCTCAGGGGTGTTTTGGATCCCAAATATGTCATTTCTGTGATTCATTTAGATCTGCAATAAAAACATTTTGAGGAAGGGGGGGCGGGGGTAAATCTGCAACACGAGTTGTCATGAAAACCTGATTCATGCTGCATGCGGCCGGCGAGCACAGTCCCTGCGAACATCGAGACGTTTCATACTGACTGCAGTCAAAGCGCGAGCGCTCAACGCGGCCCGAATAAAGTACTTCCGGGTCCTGTAGCCAATCATTGCAACGCTTTCGGCGCGAACCCGTCCGCGTTGTTACAAAATCTTGGAGATGCGTGACTGGGCGCTCAGACACTCTCTGCAATATCGCCGCGCGGTCAAGATGCATGAAACCTGATTTAATGAGTCGCAATGTGCCACACATGGCTAATTTACATAACGTTATTTTCCCGTAAAAACACTGGAAATATTCGAAGTCTGGCTAGCAAGCCAACATGCTGTCTGATCATATTTAGCATTTGGTAGCCGTAGGTAAAGTTGTTGAGAGAAATGTGTGCTAGCTTGAAGATGACTTCATACAGCTTTCTGGTTCATTATTATCTCAGGCAACATTAAAGTGACAGCAAATGTGACAGTGTCAACACATGTAATAAGGCCAGAGGGAATATAAACTTAATGAAAATCCGCAGGAGCAAAACATCAGGTTAATATATTGATAATGTTACATATTTTATGATAGAAGAGAAAATATTGTCATACTTGATGACTGTATTATGATGCTATCTCAGACACTTGCCCTGAGAGCTACTTGCACAGTGACTGCCTTTCACATCACCCTTTAGTGAAACATGGTAAGCCCAGTTCTGCAAATTCACTCTCAACCCTCACTCAAGGTTGGGAGCACAGGTTTTTCATGTTTCACTGAAGCTTTATCAAAACAGTTAGAACAGAACATAGATATCGACAAGCAATTGTGTTTTTCTTATTGTTTGCACTGCTTCTTTAGTCGGTCTGAATGCTAAAATCGTCTGTAAATTCGATCAAGCTGCCCCTGACTTGCTCCTGACCTGACAGACAGATACAGCGTGCAGAGCTGTCAATCAAATCTGCCACAAACCGTATAATGGGCATAGCCGTTTTTCTTAATAAAATAAAATCCGATGAGTTATAAAAAAAATCACCCCCCCCCTCCCCCTCCCCCCACAGTATGAGGAGAAGGGGCCGTCAACTTATCACATATATTTCATTTTTTGAACCAGGCTGTAAACATGGATTTTTTGGCTGTGGGCTTATGGCACTTCCAGTGCTTCTGGAGCCAGCCTCAAGCGGACACTCGACGAACTGCATTTTTCTTACGCATTGGCTTCATTTTTCGAGACTGGAGATTGCCGCTTGGTAAATTCACATTTTAAAGCTGATATTTAAAAAAAAATCTTCCTGGGGGAGCATGCCCCTGGAAACCCTTAGGAGGTTTGGATCCATGTCACCTTTTTCATCCCTGATGAGTTTGCACCCCTGTTCTCTGAATTTAAAGTTCCCTTCCAGCAGTTATCAACTCTCCACTAGATGGCGCCATAATACCACCAAATGTATGCTGATGCTCCTCAGCATTGAAAGTGCTGGAAGTTTGTCAGCGACTGTTGGTTTCAAAGACTCAGACTAATTATATTTGATGCATCCAACAGCATGCATCGTTATTGTCTACTGATGTACAGCCTGAAGGTGGCTCTTCTTATAGTGATCAAAATACTTAATCACACACAGGTGAGATTAACAAGACACAGGTGAGGACAATGAGGGCAAATCAAAACTGGGGGGAAACACCCAGAGGCAGGGCGAAACACTACATGATACACAGGGGGAAAAAACTACAAAATAAAACAGGAAACACTGAAAACTGAACTCAGAATTATCAACAGAAAATAAAACAGGAAATCACAACAAGGCATGAACAAACAAAACAAGTAAATTATGACATTTGTACTGCACTTCACTTCTGTATACGTTGACATCAAATACAGACTTGAAGGTTTCACTTTCTGTAAAAAAAAAAAAAAAATCCTTGATGTAAAAACTAATTAATCATACTCCATCCATATGCCACAATCTGTGCTCGTTAAATATTTAGAGCGGGCCGCAACCTCCAGTGTTGAAAAATGAAGCCAATGCAGAAGTGCAAACATCCTGCAGTTCCTCAAGTGTCCACTAGAGGCTGGCTGCTGAAGCACAGGAAGTCACATACACACCCATTCTAAAAAGCCTGTTTTTACAGCTGAGATTAACATGTTTACAGCCTGGTTCAAAAAACCAAATAGGTGTAATGGTATTTCATCCCGCCTCAGCTCCAGCTCTCAGCCTGTCGTTAGGTTGACTGAAAGTTAGACTGAGACAGCATTTCCAGCATGGAGACCGCCATCGATGGGACTCCAAAGCCCATGGAGAGATTTTATCTCCCCTCTGGCCTGGGAAAAAACGTTGCTGGGGCCTGCTGCCACAACGACCCGGCCCCGGATAAGCGAGGAAAACGGATGCATGGATGCATGGTTTAGACTCATTTAGAGACAGCTCTGCAATTTCCTACACTTAACAAAAATCAGTGAATGCACCACTTTGATTAACAACTTTTATTTCTATGAGCTGAAACTTCTATTTACAGAGACAGATGGTGAATTCATATTTATTCCAGTGAAGGTGTCTCATCACATTATACATCCTGTAGCAGCCACGGCCACTGTTCCTTAGTTACAATGTGTGTGTGTGTGTTGACTTGCTTTTCAGACATGAGACAGTAGATATAAGGACTTGTCTAGACAACAGTTCAGTTTTATGCTCACAGTGGGCATCTCTTGAAAGGCAGGTAGTTTACACACACACACACACACACACACACACACACACACGCACACACACACACACACCAACTTGAGCGTGTGTTTGGTAGCCTTGTTGGTTGTCATCAGATCGTTTCCTTTTATCTGATGTATATATAGGTGTCTCAAGGACCTTCAGAAGCAGTACAGTTTCTCTGTGAGTGTGACCGAGCAGAGATGAGAGGAGCGGAGGAGAAAGAGGAACGAGGAGCTGGAGAGGAGATGAAGCAAAAGAAAAAAAAAAAAAGGATGGGAGGAGATGAAACAAAGAGGGAAAGACATAAGATGGGAGGGGTTAAAATAGCTGCCAGGACAAAGAGAAGAAGAGTGATGAACGAGGAGAGAGGGAATGAAGCACCTGGCCACCACACGTCCTGATGTGTGTGTGTGTGCGTGCGTGTGTGTGTGTGTGTGTGTGTGTGTGTGTCCGCCTGTGTGGAGGTTAATGGGGCCATGTTGAGTTACAAGAGAGGCCTGTGTGAGCAATGGCCCCCGTCTGTGTTAGCTTACAGTATCCGGGCTAATTGATCGTTGGATGGCGGATGACATGAAGGTCAAAGCTTGAAGCCTCATTGGAGATTAGTTTTAGCCACAATATGTAAATACCATGGACTGTGAATATTAATGAGTGATGTCACCTGTTGTCGATGGCGTTGGCTGTCTCCCTCTAAATTTCAGTCGAAATTCTAACAACAGGCTAGCCCACAATTTCCACATAGTCAGCAGTGCCACTCTGCCCTTCTTCTCCCTTTTTTAAAGATTTTAAACTTTTACTCTGCGCTGTAATTATTATTATTTTTTTCTTGTAAACAAACAGCCAAAACGCAACAAAAGGTCATTGTGTAAACGTGGGCTTAAAGGCTTAAAGGCTTAAACGTCAGGTCGGAGTTTTGGCTACCCGGTGAGGCTGTGACTATCACATGCTAAGCTAACATAGCATCAAGTGCATCCGTCCAGCCGAGGTGGTTCAGGCATCTGATTAGAATCCTTCCTGGACGCCTCCCCTTTTGGAGGTTTTCCAGGCATGCCCAACTGCGAGGAGACCCTGGGGTAGACCCAGAGCTCGCTGGAGGGATTGTATATCCTGCCAGGTCTGGGAACACCCCAGAATCCCCCAGGATTTATCCTCTGATAAAAGAAGGAAAATAGATGGATGGATGCTCTTCCCCGCCTTGTAAGTAGACTTTAGCTTTGCTTGAACCTGCCGCTCTGAGGATCTTCTGGACCAGTGAGACTCCTGCTCGGATATCAGACTGTGCTGTCCTGGTCTTTCCCCTTAAAGGACAGACCGAGCTTCACCCCAATCGTTTAATTTCCACTGGAGCATCAGTAATAACTCACATACTCAAGCATCTGCACATCATGATGTTCTTTTACGAGGTTATTAATATTAAACTGAAACATTCTCATTAAATGCTGCTCAATAACCCCCCCCCCCCCCCCCCCGTTCCTCCGTACAAATGCAGTATTGATAAATGATGGTGCATGTTTTTAATTATCCAATAAGGACTACATCCAGTCTCATATTTGCTCCTGGAGACGCATTAATTACACAGAGCTTTACTCTCATCAATTCATGAAATAACTCAATTTCCTGGACATTATCGAGATTGC